ATTTCTGAGTTCAAGGCCAGCCTGGTCTACAGAGTGAGTTCCAGGACAGCCAGGACTACACAGAGAAACCCTGTCTTGAAAAAAAACAAAACAAAACAAAAAACCAAAAGCAATTAAACATCTCGAGTTCAAGGCGAGCCTGGTCTACAGAGCAAGTCCCAAGAATGACAAGGCTACAGAGACAAACCCTGTCTTGAAAACACCACCCCGGAAGACTGGGGACGGGGAGTGTTCCACAGGCAGTGGCCCATGTCTTTAATCCCATCACTTGGAAGGCAGGAGCAGTGGATCTCTAAATTCAAGGCCAGCTTCACCCATCTACAGAGACAGTTCCAGGACAGCCAGGAATCCACAGAGAAACCCTGTGGGAGGTAGGAAGGCAACTGTGTTCTATAAAAGAAAAAGGGTTTCTGTCATGGAAGCCAATAGCAGCATCAGGGGATCAACATGGCTCCCTAAAGCCAGTACTGTACAAGGAGGTGAAAGAGCAGTCAGCAGTCCTCTTACTCAGTGACAAACTCCAATGTCTAAGATGTCTGCATTTCTTAAATGAGTTATGCACCAAGATCCAAACTTTTAAAAGGCGTGGTCCCCATTCCCATTCGAGGACAGTTAACATGATACATCCTCTCTTCACATACACATCCATACAGTATCACAAGACCATTTTCCCATCACTTTGTTTTGTATGTTTTAATTTAAATGTTTTTCCCTCTTGTTCAATGATCACTAAACCTACCATTTAATTGTGCTTCTACTTCATAATTTCTACAAATATTCTTAATAATAAACAGCTCTGGGAAGAATGTAATGAAAACACTGAGGGATGAGAGGAGCCTTGAGTAGTTCAAGACTCCTAATCCTGCCCCCACTTCCCAAGTGCTGAGATTACAAGTACATACCACCAGCTCCTAAAATCAAAATTTAAAACAAGGTTAAGAATTAAGAAGATGCCAGCTGTGGTCTTAGCACTGAGGACTCCCCTCCACTCCCCCCCAAAAAAAAAGAATTAAGGAAAAAAATTAAAGATTTAAAAATTAAAGATTAAGAAAATGAGCTTGAGAGCCAACTCAGATGTCAAGAGCATTTGTTTCTCTTGCAGAGGACTTGGGTTTTATTCCCAGTTCTCACCCTTCTGGCGTCTACAGGAGCCAAGCACACACAGGTACACATATCACATATACATGCAGGCAGGCAAAATACCCATACACATAAAATACTAAAAAATAATAATAATTAATTAAAAAAGAAAAACAAAACAATCCCAGCACTTGGGAGGCAGGCGGATTTCTGAGTTCGAGGCCAGCCTGGTCTACAGAGTGAGTTCCAAGACAGCCAGAGCTGCACAGAGAAACCCTGTCTCGAAAAAACAAAAACAAAACAAAACAAATTCTAAAATGTTTTGTTCCGTGTCTTATGAGACTTATGCTAAAAGGTGTTTTTAAATAATATGGTATAAAACTGGGCATGATGGCTCATGCCTGAATCCTAGCACCTGGGAAGCTGAGGAGGAGGATCACCAGAGGTTAGAGGCCAGCCTGGACTACATAGTAAATACCAGGACAGCCTAGATAAGACAGTCTTTTAGAAACTAAAGGGAAGTGGGGAAAGCACACCATATGGTCAAGTCCAGATAATAAAACCGAGAATATCTATTACCAATCCACTAATGCTAAAACCAAAGCCCACATAAAGAATTTAATCCAATTTGGTGACTGACATGAGCCAAATCTGCTGGGCAGAGAAAAACAATCCAATGAACAAACTAATAACTGCAGATACTATACTTCTAAAGCAAAACTGTTGTGGATCACACGGTAAGCACCAGCCACACAGCCAGAAGACGGTAGGTGATTACAGACTGCTCTCATGTCTTTCTCAAGGCTCCATTTAGAGCTGTTAACTTTCCAATAATACCAATGCATAATAGATTTTCTTAAATTGTACTTACATAGTGCAAGTTTGTGCATGAGTGGTGGAGGCCTTATAGAAGTGCATTTTTCCCTTCCCCCAGAAGAGCTCCAGGAATCTAACCTGGGTGCTCAGGCTTGGTTGGCAACGAGTACCAGAACATCCAGCGCGGTATTTTTTTTTTAAAGATTTATTTATTATTTATATGACACACACTAGAAGAGTGCATCGGATCACATTACAGATGGTTGTGAGCCACCATGTGGTTGCTGGGAATTGAACTCAGGACCTCTGGCAGAGCAGTCAGTGCTCTAAACCACTGAGCCATCTCTCCAGCCCACAGCCCAGTATTTTTAACTAAGTGAAATAAAGCTTCAATATGTCCGTGCACCACTTCTTTTGAGAGAGTATCTTCTCTAAGTCAGCCTGTTTCTCCAGTGATCAATATAAATGCACCTGGATGATCGCAGAAATCATCCTCACTAGTAGATGTGAAGTTTCGACTCTTAAAAAAAGAGACAAAACCACCATTATGCAGACATTGGGGAAAGGGAGGGTTTAGACAAAGCTTTATCTATAGGTAGACCAGGTTGTCCAAAGTGCTGGGATTAGAGGATATCTAATCAATTCTAGTTTATTTTGCAACCTTCTAAATCTAAGGAAATTTACCTGGTCTCTCCTTCTCCCAAATCAGATATAACTAAGGCTATAAAAAAAAAAAAAAGAAAAAGAAAAAGCTTTTTAAAAAGCGTGCTTAAGGGACACTCTGCAATACTCCAATTAAACAAATATAGCTTTGATGTCAGCTCAACTGCTATATAAGAACTGCTTGTATCCAGTGGATGAGCTCATTCATGGAAAGAACTGTCAAAGTTGCATGTTCAATCTCCTGCATAAAAAGATTCTTACAAGGAACCACCAGATAAATACAATTCTGACACTGAGCATCTCACACTAAACCCAGGAGCCGGGCATCAGGTACGAGCACACAACCTCAGAAAACCTACTTTTGATTTTCCAGACTCTCACCTTTTAAGAAAGACAGCACACTGTAGCAGAGAAATACATTCAGGCAGAACCCTACACCGTGCAGTATAGCCTCTCCCATGGATATCAGGGCCTTCCTAGTTGTACTGAAGGTCAATCTCCCTAAGTCATATCAAGCCTGAACCTAGTTCTGCTGTCTAGAGGCTCAAAGCCTGTCTTCACATTTCCATCCCTAGCCGAACACCCAACGTAAGACATTTTCTTTTTGCAATATGAAATACCTTCCAGAAGAATCCAGAAGACATCTTAGCATGAAAAGCGAAAGCCTTATCTTCAAATAAAGGCTGTTTCTCCCGTCACCAAAACCACTACAGCTTCAGATTGTAAAAACAAACAAAAAAATTTTAGAAACTGATTAATGGTTTCTCTGGGGACCACATTTAGTCTCCACAGTGAAATGGAACTTTTCACAATATTAACACTGCCATTTATTTGGTCGTCATGATAGAATGACTACATATTTTCTTAGTTAACAGTAAATCTGACAGGCTGCTTAACCACATAAAAAAGGCTTGATTGCTGCTATCAGGTCAAAACATAACAATACAAAGTACTACTACTACCAAACCAACACTACAAATTACTTGAAATTTCAATGTTCATGCACAAGTGTCATTAATATAATTACTCATAAATTCCACTAATTCGGGGCTGGAGAGATGGTTTAGGGGTTAAGAGTATTGGCTGATCTTCCAAAGGGTCTGGGTTCAGTTCCCAGCACCCACACGTCAGCTAATGACTGTAACTCCAGTTGCAGGGAATCTGACACCTTCACATATACACACAGGCAGACACAATCAGGAAAAAGAGCAATGCACTAAACAATTAATTAATTAATTAAATGAAGTCCCGCTAATTCTCCTCTCAAAATAAAAATTCTGGCATAACCTCTTTAAAGATGAGCTGAGCACGTATAGGAATGCTATTTCGGGATGCTAACCCTGTGGTTTAAAAAAAAAAAAAAAACAGGAAAAAAAAAAAGTTCAAATGCATCAAAAGGTCAAAAGCCAAGCTGCAGTTCCCCAGGGAAACCCGAGGCTGTGGAGACACGGAAAGGCTAGGCCACCCTCTGAGTGCTCTGGGCAGGACGTCCCCTCCCAGCACAGTGGCATCAGGCGAACCCAGGAGCCCGGCGCGTTTTCCTCTGCACCGGCCGCTAGAGCCGGCCTTTGTTTTCAGCCCCGGCAGCGGACGGCGCGGTCCTGGCTGACAAAGGCGGGCATCGCCATCTTGTCGCGGCGGCCGGACGCGGCGCCCATTCATTTGCGGGCGCCTGAGGCCAGGAACGCCGGCAGCCAAGGGAACTGGGAAGCTGGGTAGCGGTAGGCCCGCACCCGACAAGGGGGGGCGGGGGATGGCCGAATCCTGGAGACCCGCCCCGTGTCCGCTCCCCGCGCGCCCAGCCGAGTCCCACGCCCCGCAGGAAGGCGCGGTCCGGAGGGCAGAGCTCGGCTTTTGTTCCCGCGGGGGACCGACTGCGAGAAGAAGCGCCTGCGGCGCGCCCGGCATCCCCGCCTTGGCAACCCATACAGGCTCGAATCTATGACCCGGGCCCCAGCTCTGCATCCCGTTCCCTTTATTAAACTCAGGACCACCTCCGGGGTCCGGCATCAGGCCCTAGACCCCCCGCAACAGCCTCGATCCTATGATCATGGGTCTGGGAACCGAATCTCGACAATGGGCTTTGAACCCAAGACCACGGGCCAGGTCCCGCATCCGGGATCCAGCCCCGGATCCCAGATCTGGCCCTGAACCCAGAACCTCCACCCGGGTTGCCGCATCTCGGATCCAGCCGCGGTCCCGCACCCCGGATGCGGCCTTGAGCCTAAGACCCCGGCCTGCATCCCGGCCTAGGCGGCTCCGCCCCATCCCTCACCTCGGGACCCCGGCCCCGACCCCCACCCAGCACACCCCGGGATCGCCCGTCCCACCCTCAAGAGCAGGATAAAGTCGGCGGCCGATGACCCCTGGGCGGGAAGAAGAGCCGTAGGGCCCGGCCCAGCCCCAGGCAGGCGCCGCTCACAGACCCCAGCCGCGCTCACCTCGCCCTCGCCCGGTCTGGCGCCCACGCCGCCGCCTGGTCGTCGCGCTCGCGGCCTGCGGGCAGGAGCCGGCGAGGCTGGTCGGGTCCGCGCGGCGGCTGTTCCAGTCCCAGCCCCGCTACCCTCGCCGCCCGCGCCCGCCACCGCCGCCGCCGCCGTCGCCGTCCGCCCCTCAGACGCCTCCAGCCATCAGGATGGGCGCGGCGGCCCCTGCCCGCAGCCTCGGGAAACCCCACGTCGCGTCACCGCGCACGGGCGGCGTGCGCGTGCCGCTCTCCGCCCCGCCCCCCCCCCCTCCGCCCCGACCAGCCTGCCCGGACCATCTTCCTGTCCTATCTGGCTATTTCTGCCCCCAACCCCCCCTCCCC